CTCACACCTATAATCCCAATACTTTGGGAGACGGAGGTGAGAGGATTGCCTGAGCTCACGGGTTCGAGACTAGGCTGGCAACTTAATGAGACCTCATTTCTACAATAAAAAATAAAAAACAAAAAATAAAAAAATTAGCTAAGCATGGTGGCATGTGCCTGTAGTTCCAGCTACTTGGAAGCTTGAGGTGGAAGGATCACCTGAGCCCAGCAGGTCGAGGCTGTGGTGGCCATCAGCATGAGAAACTCCAACTAAAAAAAAAAAAAAGAAGGCTGGGTTCAGTGGCTCAGCCTATAATCCCAGTGCTTTGGGTGGCCGAGGTGAGTGGACTGCCTGAGCCCGCGGGTTCGAGACCTGTCTGGGCAACATGACGAGACCTCAACTCTACAATAAATCAAAATTTAGCCGGGCGTGTTAGCACGCGCCTGTAGTTCCAGCTACTTGGAAGGCTGAGATGGAAGGATCGCTGGAGCCCAGCAGGTCGAGGCTGTGGTGATCGGGAGCATGCTACTGCACTCCAGTCGGGGCGACGGAGTGAAACTCCAACTCAAAAAAAAAAAGGCTGGGCACCGTGGCTCACGCTTGTAATCCCAGCACTCTGGGAGACTAGGGAAGGAGAATTGCTTGAGTTTAGGAGTTCGAGACCAGCATGGCTAACCTGTCACTACAATTAAAAAAAATAGCCAGGTGTGGCAGTGCATACCTATAATAGTTCCGACTACTTGGAAGGCTGAGGCGGAAGGATCACCGAAACACAGCAGGTTGAGGCTGCGGTGGTTATGAGCGTGCTAGTGCACCCCAGTCTGGGCGACACAGTGAGATTCTGACTTTAAACTAAAGGTTTAGGTTAAGACTACAGTGAGCTATGATCACACCACTGCACTATAGCCTGGGTGGCAGAGTGAGACCCCATCTCTAACAAGAGAGTAGATAACACATCTAATAACCACTTTTTTCTTGGGAAGCAGGGCAACCAACTCCAGCTCAGGGCAGAGTCGAATCCAGTACACTCTCACCAGAAGAGGGTGTGGGTTCCTAGAGATGGCCGGACAGTCCACCCAAGGATCCCTGGAGCGCCCACCTCTGAGGGCACCTTCAGCAGAGACATCTCAAAGTTGGACCTAACCGCCCCCTCAACACTGTTCTCTGGAAGCTTCCCTCCATGCATGCCTGTTCTTTGAGGGAAAGGCGGCCGCTCAGACCTGGGTGGCCATGCCATAGCTCGTCAACAGGCGTGTGGTGGACAACAGACAACAGGCGAAAGATGGAGCAGGCGGCATGGGGCAACCCCAGACGCCAGATGCAGATGTGCCTCTCTGACATCGTAGCAGCATCACTGCTTCAACGCTGTCATGAGTTTTCCTTCTACTTTAAGCCGGCAGAGCTGCTGGTGCTCACAAGACACTCCCATGTGCCCTGGGCCATCTGACCTCAGCAGCTGAGAGGCAGGCGCCAAGGCTGAGCACTGGTGAGAAGTGAGCTGGAGTAGGGGGGGCAAGCCCCAAGCAAAGCCCACCACCAGCGCACCACAGCACTGCCCCTCACAAATGCATGGCTCAACGTCACCCTGAGGACGTAGCACAGCTATGTTCCTTCGTGTAACTAGCCAGTGAAAAGCATTACAGTCACCAAGGAAAAGGTCGAGAAAGGACTCAGGGCTAGAGACCAAGGAGACATCAAATGTACATCGGGGGTCAGAGACATCCATGAAAGGGCCTGTGGGTCCATCACTGACACCCTGGCCAGGTCCTGACCAGCACCCCACATTTCCGTCACCATCAGTCTTCAGGGAACTTGGGGGATGGTCTGAAGGAACATGCTGAGTACTCAGCAATGCTTCTGTAAGTCCAAAATTATCTCAAGTGAGAGGTTAGAGAAGTTGTTTTACGCTTGGCCATGGACAATCACAGCTGCCCTGGTCTACGCCAGCTCACACGCATGTATTCCAGACAGTGAGCACTGCGAGAAAAAAGAAAACCGACACATGATGATGCTCTCAGAACCAGAAGTACCTTAAAGAAAAACCTTTCCTAACCTACAATACCTAAGATGTAACTATAATTCTGATTAAAGTTTAAAACGAATCTTACAGAGCAGAGACGTGAAGAGATAGGTGCACCTGTGTTCACACAGTGAGACCTTCTGTCTTTCCTCTTTTTTTTTTTTTTTCCTGATCAGAGTCTCACTCTGTCGCCCAGACTGGAGTGCAGCAGCACACTCATGGCCACTCCAGCACCGATCTGCTGGGCTCAGGTAAACTTTGCTATAGTCTTCCAAGTAGCTAGAACTACAGGGGTACACCACCACACCTGGCTAATTTTTTTATTTTTTATTGTAAAGACAAGGTCTTGCTCAAGTTGCCCAGGCTGGTCTCAAACTCCTGGACTCAGGCAGTCCTCTCGCCCCAGCCTCCCAAAAGGCTGGGATTACAGGCTTGAGCCACCAAGCCCAGCCAGAGACCCTATATCTTAAAAGAAAAGAAGGAAGACGCTAAGAAGTAGCCAGGAGCCACACAACCTGCCTGGAGACAGTGCGCTGGGGGCCAGCAAGCTTCCCATGTGCGACGCAGCACAGGCACTGACCGTCCATCTCTACCAGGAGCTGGTTGAGCGTCTGCTCCTCCTCCGTGTTGGAGAAGCCAGAAACGGCACTGGAGCGCTTCTTGCCCACTGCGTCTATCTCGTCGATGTACACAATGCAGGGCGCCCGGACACGGGCTTCCTTGAAGAGGCTCCGCACACGGGCAGCGCCCAGGCCTGTCGGGACAGAGAGTTTCAGAAATGAACACAAAGGGGAACAAGTCTTCTCCTTGGCTGGGGTCAGGCAGAGGTGCCACCAAGGATGATGCCATCTCAAGAGGCCCCTCCCCTGCAGGCAAACTTGCAGCAGCCACTCTGGGGCCCTGGGCAGGCTCTGCTCTCGAGGCCCAGGATCACAGTCCAGAGCATGTCACCCCTTAACGCACCCTGCAGACGTCATCCTTCCTCTAACGTGGGCTCTGGCTTTCCTCTCAATGCCCCATGTCCTCTGCAACTCACCACCCAAGGAAGGACGTGTGGAAGGAGAATGCCCACACAAGTGGCCAACCTAGCCTAACCGCCACCCCAGCCAGCACCTACCTCCAATGACCTCCACAAACTCCGGGCCCGCCATCGCCAAGAAGGGCACTTGGGCCTCTGTGGCTACTGCCTTGGCCAACAGCGTCTTCCCACAGCCAGGGGGCCCGAGCAGCAGCGCGCCCTTGGGGACCTTGGCACCAAGCTGAAGAAAGCGATCCGGGCTCTAGACAGAGCAGACAGTGAGATACCAACCACTCGGCATTTCGGGAGAATTTTAAGAAGTGACTCACATGACGGGCAGCTCAGGCACTGCCACCAGTTGCTACGGGGTTCAAGCACAGAGCCCGTGAGTCAGTCCAGAAAGTTGATGATCTGCTTTGCTAAATGTGAGTGGAGCTTGTGATGCTGGTCTGACTGGCACCAGGACCTGCTCAGCGTCCCCATGGGACAGCGGAGAGGTCACCACTCAACACACATCTCCCCTGTGGAATGCAAGCCCCAAGGTGTCTGACCTCCCTAGCCTACCTTCTGAGAGAGAAGATGGGCTACTGCCCACATCTCACTCTGACTCAACACAGGCTCTTACCTTTAGATAGTCCACAAACTCTCGCACTTCCAGCTTGGCTTCGTGCATTCCTGCCACGTCTTTGAAGCTAACCCCTTTTCCCATCTTCCCATCCACAATTGTGAAACGAGCCATTTTAAGCTGATTCTGTGCAGAAAGAACGAAGGTCAATGAGCCGTGCACACCTAGCAGGGCAGGGGGATTCAGCAGCTCAAGGCTGGAGGCTCAACTTGCCACATCTGAGTTGACTCAACCCCACAGCCCCCCACACCTCCACCTGGGTCCCTGCTGTAGCTCAGGAGTGCCTGTCCACACACCACTCGTGCTGGACCGAGGGGCTCACAGGTCACTCCCCAGACACACAGGGGGAGCATTTGTTTTACACTAGCAAGAAAGTTGTCAAGCAATCTGCCTTAAAAAATTATCAGCGGGGCTCGGTGGCTCAGCCTGTAATCCCAGTACTTTGGGACGCTGAGGCATGTGGATTACCTGAGCCTAGGGGTTGGAGATCAGCCCAGGCAACTTGGCAAGACCTCATTTCTACAATAAATCAAAAATTAGCCGGGCGTGGTAGTGTGCCTTTAGTTCAGGCTACTTGGAAGGCTGAGGCAGAAGGATCGCTGGAGCCCAGCAGGTTGATGCTGGGGTGCCTGTGAGTGTGCCACTGCACGCCAGCCTGGGCTAGAGTGAGACTTCAACTCAAAAAAAAAAAAAGGCCGGGTTCGGTGGCTCAACCTATAATCCCGCACCTTTGAGAGGCTGAGGTGAGTGGATTGCCTGAGCCCGTGGTTTCGAGACCCGCCTGGGCAACTTGGCAAGACCTCATCTCTACAATAAATAAAAAATTAGC